TTGAGAGAATTGACGAAACACTTTATTGTGTACCATTATCTGACATCAAATTCCTCAGGGATACCATTTCTAGAAAAAGATTCTTTGCAAGCTTGTATAACATTTGCTGATCCAGTATTTGGAAGCAGAAACACCTCAGTCCACAAGCTATAATAATCGATAATAATTAATTAGTTTTTATTAGCCAACTGAAACAAATCCGTTCCCAGTTTTTGCCATGGCCGTGTTGGGACATCAGGAGTTAGCATAGGTTCTTTTAGCTTTGATGGGAGATACTTCATACATGCCTCGCACTTTCTAATTAACTGTTCAATTTGGTTGTTTAAACCTGGCCAAAAAACACTCTGACGTGCACGACATTTGCATTTCTCCATTCCCAAATGACCTTCGTGCAATTTTGAAAGAATTTCTCTCTGCATACTAACTGGGATTATTATTCTATTCTGATATAATAAGAGTCCATCAATTTTAACTATTTCATCTTTAAAATCCCAATAAGGTTGGATATTTGCCGGACAGTATTTTTTTGAATTTGGCCATCCAGAAAATATACTTTCTTGCAATTGGTTTAAAAGTTTATCTTCTGCAGTTTTTTGCTTAATCTCTTCTAAACAATTCTCTGTAGCAAGCATACTTTTTATTATAGAATTAACATACACATTCAGATCATTTTCTGCAATCTCATCTTCTTTTGTAGGATTAGATACAGGTGCACGAGACATTGCATCTGCATCAGTAATAGACTTGCCAGCAACATGCTCTGCAGTAAATGAAAATCTTAGTAACTTCATTCATAAACGTTGAATTCTTGGAGACATATCAATAAGTGAACGATAATTTAATATTGGAATTAATGGTTTGTGATCTGTTTCTAATAAAAAATTTGGTAAACCATACAAATATTTAGACATTCGTGTGCACCCCCATGTTACTGCTAACATTTCCATTTCGATCGAATAATAATTTTTTTTTTTTGTCGTAAGAAACCTAGATGCACAATTAATTGGTTTGTATATACCATTATGATTCTGGTAAACTATTATGCTAAGTCCATTTAATAAACTTCCATCTGTTCTTACTTTTACAGGTTTTTTAACATCGTAGTGCGCCAAAATGGGTGGATTGGTTAAACTGTTTTTTACCTCATTGAATGCTCTTGTATGTTTTTCAGTCCAAAACCATGCTGATTTAGAACTCAAAAGCTCTCGCAAGGGTTCGGCTACTTTAGCAAGCGATGGATTGAATTTAGATAATTGCTGGGCCATGACTAAAAAACTACGTAATGTTTGTTGGCTTCGGAAAATTTTTTATTGCTTCAACTTTTTTGGTCAATAGTTTTATTCCATGTGCTGATATTTTATGACCTAAAAACTCCACTTCTGTTTGATCGAATAAACATTTCTCTACATTTAGGGTAACTCCATTTTCAGCAAATCTATTTAGCAATGCTACAAGGTTTTCATTATATTCCATTTCTGTATTTCCAAAAACTAAGAAATCATCCATACTTTTAACCACTCCTTTTAGACCATCAATAACTTGATCCATTTTTTTACTAAAAATTTCAGGGAGCGATGTTAATCCAAATGGCCCCCTTGTTGGACAGAACTGACCAAAAGGTGTCGTAAATGTACATTTTAACTGACTTTCAATATCTATTTGTAACTGCCAATATCCCGAGTTAGCGTCTAACTTTGCCATATATTTACATCTGTTTCCAAGTTGGGCCAATGTATCGTCTACACTTGGCAGTTCATAGAATTCACGTTTGGTGTGTTTGTTTAACTGTGTTAAATCAATACAAATACTAAGTAGTCCATTTGGTTTTTTCACAACTACTATCGGATGACACCAATCTGAGGTTGATCTACTATTTTGATAACACCCATCTCTTTCATACGCTCTAGTTCTATCTTCAACAGTTCTAGTAGTGGGAGCGCTACACGTCGTGGTGCTCCAATGATGACTATAAAATAATGAATCACTTTTCCAATGAGAAGTGATTCATAATTTTACAGTCTCTGCACTTTTTACCCCAGGCTGAACACGATCCCCAAATAAAAGGATGCTTTTTTAAACAAAATTTACATAGCAATGAGTTAAATTTAAAATCTCTATTATTACTGTTCTGTGTGAGTGAATTAAATTTGTTTTTACTGTACAATTGTTTTCCAATGCGGTCAACACTTTCACTGTTATTATTTCGCAATTCAGATACACCATCTCGTGCTTTTTCTGAAGAACAACAAATTTCTACTGCTTTATCGAGTTTGAAAGTTTTTTCAGAAAGTAATTTTTCACGTACTTTGTCACACCTTATTCCATATACAATTTTATCTCTTAATAAACTGCCAAAACAGTCTTCAGTATTGCAAAAGTTGCCATTTATACTTAGTAATTTTACTTCGGTTAAGAAATCATCAAAGCATTCACCATCTTCTTGAAAACGTTTAAAATATTCATGTCTTTCTAAAGTCTCATTAATAATACCTTTAGCAAACACTTCCATTTTTTCCAATATAATAGCTGGATCCGTTTTTTCATATTCGGTTAGATTTAATGATTCATAAATGTTTTGAGTTTCTGAAGAAAATGTATATCTTAACATAGCAGCTTGATATGCTGGTGGTTTCTTTTCTAAATCTGACAATAAAACATAATCATGCCATTTCTCAATCCATGAGCGAAATGCAGGGAATTTATCTACAGTTAAATCTAACATTGGAGGAAAAACACCTCCCTTACCACTTTCTGTCATTATTTATTTCTGTTTTTATTTATTTTAATGCAACGATTCAAAAGATTAAACATGATAATCTTTAAACAAAAACGATTAGTTTTTTCATGTTTCTTTACATACTCGTAGCGCCATGTTGTGTTCATAATATATTCTCCTTAAAGACCGGCACCGATATATAAGATTGGGCCGTATATATACATGTATAATATATGACACTCTACTTCTAAATTTACTTCAAACCTAACTAGTCTATTCATTTCTGCTTTTGAAAGTTCATACTCATTTCTTATCATTTCTTCCGTTTCTTTTTGATATTGGAGATGTAGGTGTCTACAATAATGTGTACTAGAGGGGTTCTTATTTAACCATACATTTTTGTTCATTATGGTTAATTTAATTGGAACAATAGCTATCTGGAAAAGACTTTGCTCGTTAACTTGGGCCTCACCAATATTTGTATTAGTATATTATTGCTCATTGACACTTTGACTGGAGGCACCATGAAAACCATCTTTAAAATGAAGTAGACCTTTAAAACTCCCCCCAATTTCAGGAAAGAAAGATTCTCATAGTCTTGGCATTTCGTAAAAGTTAATATCCTTGTCAGAGTATGATTAAACATACCCAGTAGAGGAGTTGAAGCAGATGTTTCTGTCACAATTAGACCCTCAGGATAACATTTGTGTCTCTTATTCTTTATTTCATGAAGTGAAGGATAAATACCTGCATTATGTATTATCAATGAATTTCTAATAATTTGATACTGTTCATCAGAAAGTTCACACTGAATTTTTAAGTCCAAGGCATCTTCGGTTTTCATTTTTATTGGAAAATTTATCTTCATGATATTATTAGAGGTTTTTTTGTCATTTCAGGTTTGTCAATACTTTCATTGTATAGACCCTCCAGTCTACAAAACTCACGTAGAAGAGCTTCTAGTAAATAATCATGATTTATTCCTAATTCTTGAATTATAGAAACTAAATGTATTCTTTTCATGTTTAATGTAAGCAATGAACTATGCCATCAAATGTTGCATATTTCAGTTTTTGAGGTTTGATAATTAGCACCATCTGCTTTAGCATGATTTTTTTACTTATAGGAACTAAATGTATTATTTGTGTGATGATTGTAAGCAATAAACTATTGTTTGCTATTTTATACACAAGTTTTAATTAAAAATGGGAAAAAAAAACACAACAAAAAACAAAGTATTTAAAAGGCCTTATTTTAATTGGGACAAGTTGGGGCAAATGATTTTTATTTTTTCTGCTTTCATATATACCAATTAATGGGAAAATATTAAAACTGCCATGGAATCTAGTGGAATCTTTTAGTTTTTGAACTAAATTCATAATTAAACTAATTTAAAAAAATCAATTTATGACACATTTTTGAGATCTCAGTAACGAAAATCTAAAAGTAAAATTTATTGTCAAATATGTTGTTAATAGTTACCAAACATCTTAAACATATGACTTCAAATTAAATTTTGAACTGTTTTTACCCATATCAATCTTAAAAGAGTGATACTAAAGCAAGACTCTTTTGAACGAGTTTTCCGATAAATAAGTCTTGGACAAAGCCGTATAAATGGTGAAATCTTAAAAATTATTCACAAAAAAATTAATAATTGTTTTTTAGTGGTATTTAGTAACATTATTAATTTAATTAATTATTTTCTAACAATAGTTTTTTTATGGGGGTTTTTTTGCCGTTTTTATGGATTTTGACACACTGTGCGTATAATAAAATACTATTTTGTTTTATTCTTTATTTTGTTTTTAATTTTGTTTTACAAACACATTTTAGAACTTTAAAATATAATAAAAACAAATATGATTTGGAAATTGTATGTAAAAAATAACAATCGGTGTTTTAAACAAAAAAAAATACTATGATGTCATGCACTAAAGCTCCTATGAATTAAACGCACTTGAATAAATTATCAAGTCTGTAAAATGCGCCTGGAAAATCGCGTTTATTTTACATACTCAAAATACCGCAGAAAATGGAGAAGACAAGCTTCGACTAAAACAACAAGATTTGTTTTTCTTGGTACACATTTATTAATTAGTTTTAATCAAAAAAAAATTTGATCAGACGTTTTTTTTTAACATTCTCTTTAATATGAACACAACATGTCTCGGGACTTGGTAGTCCCTTTAAGGAAAAAGCTTAAAAAAAAATGTCAAGATTATTATTGGATTCTTTGTTTTTATTGCAACTCAATAAAGAAACATAAGAAAAACATTCTTACTAATGAAAATACTTGAACTTGGGAATACAAACATTCTAGTTCTTTTTCACTAACTTCAACTGTTAAACCTAAAAATATAAAAAATACTTCATACTCTTTATAACAATTTTTAAATTCTAATCAAAATTTAAATATTAGCAATAAAAAACAAATTAAAGTGTTCTAAAGGTGCAAAATAAGGTTTCACTAGAGAAACAAAACTAATGTTTCACTAGAGAAACAAAAACAATGTTGCACTAGAGAAATAAAAATAAGGTTGCACTAAAGAAACAAATATGTTGCACTAGTGAAAAAAAATAATGTTACACTAGTGAAACAAAAATGTTACATTAGCGAAACAAAAATAATGTTGCACTAGTGAAACAAAAATAATTTTTTATTAGCGAAACAAAAATAATGTTGCACTAGTGAAACAAAAACAATGTTACACTAGTGAAAAAAAAAATGTTACACTTGTGAAGCAAAAAATACAGAACAATCTTATCATAGAGTACAGTGTAAGTGTATAAAAAAATAATATTGCACTAATAAAGAAAACTTTTTTTTTCTAATTTTAATTTATTTTTAAATTTAATTTTAAAGTCAACAAAAGCATTATCATCAATTAAATAAAATGACCAGAAAAAAATTGTTGACAAGTTGTGTTCATATTATGCGGTAGTGGTGTAGTGGTAAAGTGCTCACTTCATAAGCGAGAAGTTCTGATTTCAATTTCCACCACATCCCAAGTAGTACTGCGCTTAACTTGTTTCTCTGCACAGTAACTTTTTTCTTCAAGGTTTATGTTTTGGAGTTGAAAAGTTGAACTACAATTATGCAGCCTTTTCTACAGTAGTGGCCCTCTCAGCCTTAAGGGGGTGAACAACATTATAAAAATAAAATAAAATTATTAAAAAGAATGTTTAAAAAAAATGTTTGGACTGGAGTTTTTAACATAAAACAAAATATTAAATGTACACAGAGAAAATCTAATTTTGTAGTTTTAGTCAAAGCTTGTCATCTTCATTTTAGTCAGAATTTCAAGTCTTTAAAATAAAAGCGCTTTTTTTCAATGCAATCTGCAGACTTAATAATTTAATCAAGTGCATTTAATTTTAAAGAGTTTCAGTATAAAAATGACGTCATTGCAGAAATATTTTACTCGTATTTTTAATGGAAACTTTGCAAAAATTTGAAAATAAATTAACAAATTCTCAAACAAATTGTTAAGTAATTTATAAAGAAATCAAAAATAATAAAGAATTTCTAGATTTCCTATCAAAACTCTACAATGATGTCATATACTAAAACTATTTGGAATTAAATGTGCTTAAATAAATTATAAGTTTTAGAGTGTGTCAAAAAGCCAATATATTTTAAAGACTTCAAATTCTGATAAAATGGAGAGTGAGAGCTTTAACTATCCAAAACAAAGTATTCTTTGATTATCCAAAATAAAGTATTCTTGGTATCCCAAGAATACTTTGTTTTAATATTGTTTTAATCAAAAAAATTCAGCCTAAACATTTTTTAAAACATTCTCTTTAATATGAACATAATTTGATCAGCACTTGGAGATCTCTTTAAAAATGGAAACTCAACAAAATACAATTGCAACTTGAAACAAAAGCCAGAATATCCTGTAACTTATTTAATTCCATTAAAAACCAAAAATACAATGCAGCTAAAATTGAAAAAAAGCATGCTAAAATAAGGAAAAAATAATTTTTGGAACAAAGGGTAAAGATGAAAAAAAAGATTAAAATGTTAAAAATGTTAAAGTATATTAACAGTTTAAATGTGTTTGTGACATTTCTTGTTGTATTTAAAATTAAAATAAGTTACAAAACATAAAAACAGCAATGTACTAACTTTCTTTTAAGTAATATTTCAGACTGATTTGTACAGACAGTCATAAAATTTTATTGATCAGTCTGATTTGTACAGACAGTCATAAAATTTTACTGATTAGACTAATTTGTACAGACAGTCATAAAATTTTACTGATTAGACTAATTTGTACAGACAGTCATAAACTTTTATTGATCAGACTGATTTGTACAGACAGTTATAAAACTTGACTGTATACTTATAAAAAAAAACTTGACTGTATACTTCTAAAAAGACCGAAATATCACTTAAAAGAAAAATTGTACGCTGCTGTTTTTATGTTTTAAAACTTATTAAAAAGTTAAAAAACTCAAAAGTAAGAATTTTGAGTTTAAAGAATTTTGGCAGAATCCAAAGAAAAAATAGTAGTATTGATAAAACTGAACTCTTAATTCACAGAAATATTTATTGTTCCAGACTTGACAAGATGACATGAAATTAGATGTTAAAAGATGACATGATTGGTCCAAAAGTGACATCATCTTGTCAATTCATCATTTTAATTGGTCCAGAATTGATGTGAGAGAGTACTTACTAAAGCTTTAATTAAAAAAAAAAGAAATAAATTAAATGAGTTAACAAAAAAGTTATTGATTTCAAAGTTTAGATTAGAAATAATAAATTTTTCAATGATCAAGACCATAACAACTCAAACATAAATATCAAGGTTGCCTATATTATCTTAGCTAAGTAAAGTAGATACATCAATACATCCAACCCAAATAAAATTGCATTAACCTTGTCTAAATCAAACATTCCTACAACATAATCAAATTTACATTTTTACAACAGAATTAAATTTACATTTTTACAACATTTACATCAAATTTTTACAAATTAAAATTTAATCACATTTTTATCAAATTAAAATTTTAATATCAAAATTCAAACAACAATAGCAGATTTTTCAATATTTTTAATTAAATTAGCAACCAAAATAATTTATTTAAGCAAACAAAATATAAACATTCTTTTTTTTCCTCATAGCTAATAATAATGACAACAACAAAAATAATAATGATAACAACAAGAATAATAATGACAATAACAAAAATAATAATGACAACAACAAAAGTAATAATAATAACAACAAAAATAATAATGACAACAACAAAAATAGTAATGACAACAACAAAAATAATAATAACAACAACAAAAATAATAATGACAACAACAAAAATAATAATGATAACAACAAGAATAATAATGACAACAACAATAATAATAATGACAACAACAAAAGTAATAATAGTAACAACAAAAATAATAATGACAACAACAAAAATAGTAATGACAACAACAAAAATAATAATAACAACAACAAAAATAATAATGACAACAACAAAAATAATAATGATAACAACAAGAATAATAATGACAACAACAATAATAATAATGACAACAACAAAAGTAATAATAGTAACAACAAAAATAATAATGACAACAACAAAAATAATAATGACAACAACAAAAATAACAATGACAACAACAAAAATAATAATGATAACAACAACAATAATAATGACAACAACAAAAATAATAATGATAACAACAACAATAATAATGACAACAACAAAAATAATAATGACAACAACAAAAATAATAATAACAACAACAAAAATAATAATGACAACAACAAAAATAATAATGACAACAACAAGAATAATAATGACAACAACAAGAATAATAATGACAACAACAAAAGTAATAATAACAACAACAAAAATAATAATAATGACAACAACAAAAATAATAATAACAACAACAAAAATAATAATAACAACAACAAAAATAATAATGACAACAACAACAACAATAATAATGATAACAAAAACAATAATGATTTGTATGAAGTGAGTCATAAATAAATAGAATAAAAATAGTATACTATAAAAAATAAAAATATTATATTATGCAAACAAAAAAAGATATCTAGCACCCTAGATATGTTAAAGTAGCATATCTAGGGTGCTAGATATGTTATATATGTTATTCTAGCTGTTAGACATTTCTTGTAACAAGTTTCTGTATTAAAAAACAAAACAAACAACATAAAATAAACAAATTAATCATAAATTTAAAAAAAAAGTTCATACATGCGAAATTCTCTATACGAGAAAGCTGATATGAATGGGTTTAAAGTCTCCCTTTTATTTATTAAATAATTTAAAGTAGACTTATAACAACATGAAAATTGTTCAAAATACTAATTACAAAAATTGAAATTGTAACAAAAATTAACTTATAACAAAAAAAGTGACTTATAATAACATGAAAATTGTTCAAAATACTAATTACAACAATTTGACATTGTAACAAAAATTAAATTGCTTTTAGAATATTAATTTTATTTTGTCTCATTATTTAACATTAAAGATATCTTAAATCAGCTATGGCAGCAGGAATTTTATCTAAATATAATTTCATCTAAATAGATTATGGTCCACATAATATAGTACAACTAATATAATTGCTTGTTGTTGTAATATAAATGTTTTAATAATACTGTTTGTGCAACTGCCAAATCTAGGCAACTGCCTAGGGGCGCTAACCAAAAAAACGTGCCTAATTTTTTATTATCTTTAAATTTTTCTTTTATTTTTGTCAAGAATTTTTTTTTAATACATCAGAACTAACTTTGAATTTATTTGAATTTTTTAAAACTATTCTTATAATTAGATTAAGGTGGCTTATATAGAAAAATACTTAATTTTTTTCAAAAATACAAATTTGAATTTTTTTTAAATATACTAATTCAAAATTTATCATTCTTTTAAAAAATATATACATTTGGCATAAAATACTTACTAATATTACCTTACTTAAACATTTTTTATAGGTCAGTTTCATTTTTTGCTAATAATTATCGGGAAAGTTTGTTTATTGTTTCATATTTTTTTAATTTTATTCTTTTTTTGCAAAACCTGATATCTTGAGATTTACAATATATATATATATATATATATATATATATATATATATATATATATATATATATATATATATATATATATATATATATATATATATATATATATATATATATATATATATATATATATATAATATATATATATAATATATATATATATATATATATATATATATATATATATATATATATATATATATATATATATATATATATATATATATATATATATATATATATATATATATATATATATATAATTTTGTT